AGCCGTGCATGGCCGTTTTCTTGCGGCCGGCGCGCCAGAACCGCCTCAAAGCTTTCAAAGAGGCTTTCATGACGAACGGGCTCATGAATTGAGAACTCGGCCGGGCTCGACGCGCGCGCCGGCTGGGATGAGGGTCTTCTTCCTCCTCCTCTGTCTCTTCCCCTGCCGCTTCTTCCGACCCAGAGTTTGCGTCCTCTTCCTCGTGCTCCTCCTCTTGCTCTTGCCCCGTTTTGTGTGATGATGGGAGTGGTGGTGATGATGATGATGATGATGATGATGATGATGATGATGATGATGATGATGATGATGATGCGGATGATGATGATGATGATGATGATGATGATGATGATGATGATGATGATGATGATGAGGAAGGGGTGGAGGAGGAGGAGGAGCAGGAGGAGAAGGAGGAGGAGGAGGAAGTGGCAGAGGGGCCAATTCGGGTCTGCCATCGCGCGTGTCGCTGCCCCGCGTCTGACACTGCCAGCGCGCTTGACGAAACAGACGGGCTCGGCTGCGGTGTCTCCTCGCCCTTGGCCGTTGTATATAGCGGATTGCGGGTAACTATAGAGAAATGGTGATCGAAAGATGCATATACATACACATCTGCATAAACAGGTACATGTGCATCTCTACGTTGGTGTCAAGGCTGTGTGTATGTATGTGTCTATTTTTGTAGAAATGCATATCTACATATCCGTAAGGGCTTCGCCCCCTTCCGCCGGCCCCCCCTCTCTATCGTAATGGGATGTATCAGAGTCGCGTCGGTGCGTCTCGGCGCTGCCTTGGCGCATTTGGGAACATCATGCGGGGGCGGATAGGAATCAGCAGCGCATGTTGATACGTTGGCGTTATCGAAGACGCCTGCGGCGAATCACCGCCGCCCCCTGCCTTCCAGAATCGCCCATGTGGCCGAGCGTTGTGGCAAGAGCTCTGCCAAGCTATCGGACTATGTGCTCCCCCAATCGTTGTGGAAACCCTTCGGGGAACACTTGGACGAGGATGGCGGGCAAGATCAGGAAGAGGAGGAGGAGGAGGAGGGGGAGAGGAGGAGGAGGAGGAGGAGGAGGAGGGAAAGGAAAAGGAGGAGGAGGAGGAGGTTATCGAGGAGGAGGAGGAGGAGGGGGATGATGTTGATGATGATCATGATAATAATGATGATGATTATGATGATGATGATTTTGATGTTGTTGATGATGATGTTGATGATGATGATGCTGATGCTGCTGCTGATGATGATGATGCCGATGATGATGATGGTGATGATGATGATGATGATGACGATGATTATGATGATGATGCTGATGATGATGATGATGAGAATGAGGATGATGAGGATGAGGATGAGGATGAGGATGAGGATGAGGATGAGGATGAGGATGAGGATGATGATGATGATGATGATGATGATGATGATGATGGATGGCCTCGATGGATGTGATGACTGATGAATGAGATGAGGATGAGGATGAGGATGAGGTGAGGACTAGGACGAGGATGAGGATCGATGAGGACTTAGGTGGAGGATGAGGGGATGAGGAGGAGCGGAGGAGGAGGATGAGGGGGAGGAGGATGAGGAGGATGAGAGGAGTACAAAAAGGAGGACAGAGAGGAGGCGGAGGAAGGAGGAAGAGGAGGAGGAGAGGAGGAGGGGAGGAGGAGAGGCGGAGGAGAGAGAGGAGGAGGAGGAGGAGGAGGAGGAGAGGTAGGGGAGGAGGAGGAGGAGAGAGGAGGAAGAGGAGGAGGAGGAGGAGGAGGAGGAGGAGGAGGAGGAGGAAGAGGAGGAGGAGGAGGGGACATCTTGGGAGCCTCAGGGGACACTCTTGGGGCCTCCTTGGGCCTCTTGGAGGTCTTTTGGTGGCTTCTCGGGGGCCTCTTTGGCCGTCTTGGCGGGCTCCTAGCTCGTCTGACGCCGTCAGAAGCCGTCTTGGGGGCCTCTCTGGGCCGAATTGGGGCCCTCTTGGAATGTTCCAGGGCCGACTTGGAGGCCATCTTGGGCGTCTTGGGACCCTCCCGGGGCGGTCTTGGGGGCCTCTTGGGAAGTTCTGGGGCCATCTTGGCCACCTTTTGGGCGATCTTGGGGCGATCTTTGGGGGCTCTAAGTCGTCTCGGGCCGTCGGAAGGCCGAAAATAAAAAAATGCCGAAATCCTTCGAGAACCTGAGGAAAATCATGGATTTCAGCCTCTTCGGGCCGTCCTAAAGGCCCTCTTGGAGGCCTCTTGGGCCGTCTTGGACCATCTTCGAGTCATCTTTGGCCGTCTTGGTGGGCTCCTGGCCCGTCTGACGGCGTCGGAAATCGTTTTGGGGGCCTTTCTGGGCCGACTTGGGGCCCTGTTGGAATGCTCCAGGGCCGTCTTGGGGGCTTTCTTGGGTGTCTTCAAGGCCTCTTGGGCCTTCTTTGGGCTCTCTTGGGGCCGTCTTGGGGGCCTCTTGGGTCGTTCTGGGGTCATCTTGGAAGCCTCTTGGGGGATCTTGGCGCGATCTTTGGGGGCTCTAAGCCGTCTCGGGCCGTCGGAAGGCCGAAAATATGCAAATGCCGAGATCCTTCGAGAACCTAGCGAAAATAACTGATTTTGGCCTCTTCGGGCCTTCAGGAGGCCCTCTTGGAGGCCTCTTGGGCAGTCTTGGGCCGTCTTTGGACATCTTAGAGCCTTGGTGGGCTTCTGGCCCTTTTGACGCCGTCGGAAGCCGTTTTAGGGGCCTCTCTGGGTCGACTGGGGGCCCTCTCGGGGTGTTCCAGGGCCGTCTTGGAGGCTTCCTTGGGCGTCTTAGAGGCCTCTTGGGCCGTCTTGGGGCCCTTTTCGGGCCGTCTTGGGGGCCTCTTGGGCAGTCCTGAGGCCATCTTGGAGGCCTCTTGAGCGCTCTGGGGGCGATCTTGGGGGCCTCTTGGGCCGTCTTGTGCCGTCGGAAGGCCGAAAAGGAGCAAATACGACAATCCTTCAAAAACAAAGGGGAAACCAATGATTTTAGCCTCTTCGGGCCCTCCTGGAAGAACTCTCGGAGGCCTCTTGGGCCGTCTTGCAGGCCTCTTGGGCACCTCTTGGGCCGTTTTGGAGGCTTCTTGGGCGGACTTAGAGGTGTCTTGGACCCTCTTAGGCCGTCTTGAAGGCCATGTTGGACCATCTTAGCCGAACTTGAGGGCCATCGTGGCCGTCGTGGCGGCCATCTTGGGCCATCTTGGGCTCGCCTGGACGAGGAGAAACCTTTGCAACCAGGCCTTGTGCAGCCTTCCGGGGTGCCGGCGGGCTGGGCCGGAGCCCCGGGGGAGAGTTCTTTTGGAAAAGAACCAGAGCCCAAACCGAAAGGATTCAGCACGCCAAGCACCCCTGTGATGAATCAACAGGGGGCGGCGGATCGAAGACGCCTACGGCGAATCACCGCCGCCCCCTGCCTTTTTGGAAGCGCCTACGTGGCCGAACGTTGAGGCCAGACCTGCCAAGCTATCGGACCATATGTTCCCCGAACCAGTTTGGAAAACCTTCGGGGAACACGTGGGCATCTTGAAGGTCATCTTGGCTGTCTGGAGGCCATTTTGACCCTTTCGGGTCTTCTTGGAGGACGTCTTGGATGGCTCTTGGGCCGTCTTGGAGTCCATCTTGAGCGTCTTGGAGGCCTCTTGGGCCGTCTTGGGGGCCTCTTGGGGCCGTCTTGGGCCTCTTGGACGATCTTTGGGGGCACTTGGGCGCCGTCTCGGGCCGTCGGAGGGCCGAAAAAAGGCAAATGCCACAATCCTTCAAAAACTCAAGGGAAATCAATGATTTTGGCCTTTTCGGGCCTTCCTGGAGGCCCTCTTGGAGGCCTCTTGGGTCGTCTTGGGCCAGATTCGAGCCAACTTCGGCCATCTTGGTGGGCTCCTGGCCCGTCAGACGGCGTCGGAAGCCGTTTTGGGAGCCTCTCTGGGCCGACTTGGGGCCCTGTTGGAATGCTCCAGGGCCGTCTTGGAGGCCATCTTGGGCGTCTTGGAGGCCTCCTGGGCTGTCTTGGGGGCCTCTTGGGGCCGTCTTGGGGGCCTCTTGGGCTGTTCTGGGGTCATCTTGGAAGCCTCTTGGGTGATCTTTGGGCGATCTTTGGGGACTCTTGGGTCGTCTCAGGCCGTCGGAAGGCCGCAAAGAAGCAAATGCCGAAATCCTTCCAGAACCCAAGGAAAATCAGTGTTTTTGGCCTGTTCTGGCCGAGGCCCTCTTGGAGGCTTCTTGGGCCGTCTTGGGCCAGCTTCGAGCCAACTTCGGCCATCTCTGACGCCGTCGGAAGCCGTTTGGGGGGCCTCTCTGGGCCGACTTGGGGCCCTCTTGGGGTGCTCTGGGCCGTCTTAGAGGCCATCTTGGGCGTCTTGGAGGCCTCTTGGGTCGTCTTTGTGCCCTCTTGGGGCCGTCTTGGGGGCCTCTTGGGCAGGCCTGAGGCCATCTTGGAGACCTCTTGGGCGCTCTGGGGGCTCCTTGGGGGCCTCTTGGGCCGTCTTGGGTCGTCGGAAGGCCGAAAAGGAGCAAATACGACAATCCTTCAAAAACAAAGGGGAAATCAATGATTTCAGCCTCTTCGGGCCCTCCTGGAGGACCTCTTGGAGGCCTCTTGGGCCGTCTTGGACGCCTCTTGGGCACCTCTTGGGCCGTCTTGGGCCGTCTTAGAGGTTTCTTGGCGGACTTGGAGGCATCTCTTCCTCTCTTGGGCCGTCTTGGAGGCCATCTTAGGCCATCTTGGGCCATCTTGGAGGCCATCTTGGACCATCTTGGAGGATTTGTTTCCCGATTGAGGTCCTTGGCAATCTTTCCGGGTGGCTGGCGGAACGCGCCGGAGGCCCAGGGGGAGTTCTTTTGGAAAAGAATCAAAACTAAAAAGCACCCCTGTGATGAATCAACAGGGGGCGGCGGATCGAAGACGCCAACGGCGAATCAGCGCCGCCCCCTGCCCCTTTGGAAGCGCCTCTGTGGCCCAGAGCTTGGCCAAGCTATCGGGCCAGTTGTTCCCCGAGTCGGTTTGGAAAGACTTCGGGGAACGCATGGGGGAGTAAGAAGAGGAGGAAGAGGAGGAAGAGGAGGAGGAGGAGGAGGAGGAGGAGGAGGAGGAGCAGGAGGAGGAGGAGGAGGAGGAGGA